AGGTGGACGATGCGGTGGTCCCTCCAGACTCCAGCGCAGCCTGGAGCCCAGAACAGAGCCTTCCCGCAGCTGCTTGCTCCTCTCCGGGACGTCTCTGTCCTCCCGCTGCACACAAGGCTGGTCGGCTCCTGGGTTTTCATAGGGCGGTGGTGGGGGGCTCCGGCACTCCTCTCTAGTGCTCGGATCATGGCGGATGGTCTGGAGCGGCTCCGGAATGGCGGAGAGCAGGGAAACCAGGAGCCATGGCAGTTCACCTAGTGGTAGGGCCAGGCCTGTGCCCACCCGCAGTACATCTCCTGCAGACCAGCGGCACTTGCTGGACCGTGTACTTCACACGCCCTGCGTGGGTTCAGGAGTGGCCTGGGGATCATGTGATCGCTATGTGATCACATGATCTAAATTTACACAAAGCTGTTATGAATGAATCTTGTATACCTAAACCGGTGAGCTGTGATTGGCCCACGGTTATCACAAGGGCCTTGGCCCAATCACTGTTCTTACACAATTCCTGGGCCAATCACTGTTCTCACACGATTCCTGGGCCAATCACTTCTACACGATACCTGGGCCAATCACAGTTCTCACACGATTCCTGGGCCAATCACTGTTCTCACACATACCTGGGCCAATCACTGTTCTCACACGATTCCTGGGCCAATCACTGTTCTCACACGATTCCTGGCCAATCACTGTTCTCACACGATTCCTGGGCCAATCACTGTCTCAACATTCCTGGGCCAATCACTGTTCTCACCACGATTCCTGGGCCAATCACTGTTCTCAACATGGATTCCTGGGCCAATCACTGTTCTCACAGATTCCTGGGCCCAATCACTGTTCTCACACGATTCCTGGGCCAATCACTGTTCTCACACACGATTCCTGGGCCAATCACTGTTCTCACACATTCCTGGGCCAATCACTGTTCTCACACGATTCCTGGGCCAATCACTGTTCTCACACGATTCCTTGGCCAATCACTGTTCTCACACATTCCTGGGCCAATCACTTCTAACATGGTACCTGGGCCAATCACAGTTCTCACTCGATTCCTGGGCCAATCACTGTTCTCACACGATTCCTGGGCCAATCACTGTTCTCACACAGTACCTGGGCCAATCACTGTTCTCACACGATTCCTGGGCCAATCACTGTTCTTACACGATTCCTGGGCCAATCACTTCTAACATGGTACCTGGGCCCATCACAGTTCTCACACGATTCCTGGGCCAATCACTGTTCTCACACAGTACCTGGGCCAATCACTGTTCTCACACGATTCCTGGGCCAATCACTGTTCTCACACGATTCCTGGGCCAATCACTGTTCTCACACGATTCCTGGGCCAATCACTGTTCTCACACGATTCCTTGGCCAATCACTGTTCTCACACGATTCCTGGGCCAATCACTTCTAACATGGTACCTGGGCCCATCACAGTTCTCACTCGATTCCTGGGCCAATCACTGTTCTCACACGATTCCTGGGCCAATCACTGTTCTCACACAGTACCTGGGCCAATCACTGTTCTCACACGATTCCTGGGCCAATCACTGTTCTCACACGATTCCTGGGCCAATCACTGTTCTCACACGATTCCTTGGCCAATCACTGTTCTTACACGATTCCTGGGCCAATCACTTCTAACATGGTACCTGGGCCCATCACAGTTCTCACTCGATTCCTGGGCCAATCACTGTTCTCACACGATTCCTGGGCCAATCACTGTTCTCACACGATTCCTGGGCCAATCACTGTTCTCACACAGATACCTGGGCCAATCACTGTTCTCACAACGATTCCTGGGCCCAATCACAGTTCTCACTCGATTCCTGGGCAATCACTATTCTCACACGGTCCTACGGGCCAATGATCACAGCACCCTGTACCATGTGGATACCTGTAGCCAATCACAGATGTTAGGAATGTAACGCCTTCATTACAGATGATAATATTGATCATCATTGGAACAGCAAAGTGTAAAAACAAATTCCTGCCCCCCCCCCCCCCCCCCAGAGTAACAATACAAACGCAGTGCAAACAGACTGAACCAAACCTCCAACAGATACCAATACATACGATACAAGAGTAGTCAGGCAGACGGAGTACCAGGAGCAGGCGGGAGAGTGGTCAGGACTAGCCGAGGTCAGTACAGGCAGAGTTCAGGCAGCGTCAGGACAGCAGAAACAGGATCAGGAAACCAGGGCCAAGCAAACAGTACACCAAGCACTGACTGCAGGTCTGGTCATCCCTTAAATACACCTCCTGCAATCAGCCCCAGGTGATGGCTAACTGCCAAAGTGAACCTCTGGTTGTTGAGAGCACCCGCTGGCCAGTCCTGGTACTGCAGCCCACAAGGCAGGTGAGTCCCACCACTATTGGCAAGTCCATTCCTGACAATGGGAATGGATGGAGAGGACACCCAACAGATGGGAGGAGGATGGGAATGGATGGAGAGGACACCCAACAGATGGGAGGAGAAGGGGAATGGATGGAGAATGGTGAGGATGGGAATGGATGGAGAGGACACCCAACAGATGGGAGAGGAGGATGGGAATGGATGGAGAGGACACCCAACAGATGGGAGGAGGAGGATGGGAATGGATGGAGAGGACACCCAACAGATGGGGAGGAGAATGGAATGGATGGAGAGGACACCCAACAGATGGGAGGAGGGGAATGGATGGAGAGGACACCCAACAGATGGGAGGAGGATGGGAATGGATGGAGAATGGAGGAGAGAGGACACCCAACAGATGGGAGGAGGAGAATGGATGGGAATGGAGGAGAGGAGAGACACCCAACAGATGGGAGGAGGAGGATGGGAATGGATGGAGAGGACACCCAACATTGGAGGGGAGGAGGGAGGATGGAGAGGACACCCGAACAGATGGGAGGAGGAGGATGGAGAGGACACCCGACAGATGGGAGGAGGAGGAAGGAGATGGATGCAGAAGGACACCCAACAGATGGGAGGAGGATGGAGAAGACATCCAAAAGATGGCAGGAGGAGGAGGATGGAGAGGAGACCCAAGAGATGGGGGAGGAGGATGGAGAGGAGACCCAACAGATGGGGGGGAGGATGGAGAGGAGACCCAACAGATGGGAGAAGGATGGAGAGGTGACCCAACAGATGGGGGAGGATGGAGAAGGATAGAGAGGAGACCCAACAGATGGGGAGGAGGATAGAGAGGAGACTCAACAGATGGGAGGAGGAGGATGGAGAGGAGACCCAACAGATGGGAGGAGGAGGATGGAGAGCAGACCCAACTGGTGGGGGAGAGGGGGATGGGTGGAGAGGTGACTGTAGATGGGGGAGGGGGATGGTCATCCAAGAGGTGGGGGAGGGATCTTGGAGTAGACTTTATCCTCAGTATTCCCTCGTGACTCCGCCCAGATTACAGGCGATGGGTGTCACCTAGAGAGTATTTCTGTCACTTCCGGTTTCTCCAATGCCAGGTGTCCCCCGGGGGAGGATTTCTCAGTTCCGGGTATGGTGACCCCAGGATGAGGGGGGGGAATCTTCCCACTGGGGTCACAGGGAGCAGTAAACACAGAAGCCCCGCCCCCCTACATGTGGTCTCTCGATGTGCTCGGTGTGATATCGGGCGCGGTAATATCACAGATAACGATACATACGGAGATATACTGATCCGACTCCTCCCCCTGACACACTCACTTCTGTCTCCGCCCCCTACGTATTACATATTAGCCCCGCCCCTCCTCGAGCTCCTCTATCGGGGCGGGGCGTAGTGTACCGGAAGTAGGCGGATCCCGGAAGTAGTTCTCGGCAGTGTCGGGCTGAATTTCCGCCTCCTAGAGACTCCCCGGAGAGGAGACATGGAGCGGGTGAGACACCGGGAGGGGGCGGGGCGAGCACAGAATACCGAGCCCAGGAGCTGGCAATCTACAGAGGGCGGAGCTTTCCCGGGCGGTGACCCGCATTGTGTGGGGGGAGGAGGGGCCGTGACCCCAGGAGCTAACAATCTAGTTGGGGGAGGGGCCGTGACCCCAGGAGCTAACAATCTAGTTGGGGGAGAGGGGCCGTGACCCCAGGAGCTAACAATCTGTGGGAGGGGTGGTGACCCCAGGAGCTAACAATCTGTGGGGGGGGGAGGAGGGGTGGTGACCCCAGGAGCTAACAATCTAGTTGGGGGAGGGGCGGTGACCCCAGGAGCTAACAATCTGTGGGGGGGAGGAGGGGTGGTGACCCCAGGAGCTAACAATCTAGTTGGGGGAGGGGCGGTGACCCCAGGAGCTAACAATCTAGTTGGGGGAGGGGCCGTGACCCCAGGAGCTAACAATCTGCGGGGGGGGGGGGAGAGAGGGCGGTGACCCCAGGAGATAACAATCTGTGGGAGGGGGCGGTGACCCCAGGAGCTAACAATCTATGGGGGGAGGGGCTGTGACTCCAGGATCTAACAATCTGTGGGGGGGGAGGAGGGGCAGTGACCCCCAGGAGCTAACAATCTGTGGGGAGGGAGGGGCGACGCATAACATCTGGTGACCCCCAGGAGCTTACAATCTGTGGGGGGGAGGGGCGGCGACCCCCAGGAGCTTACAATCTGTGGGGGGGAGGGGCGGCGACCCCCAGGAGCTTACAATCTGTGGGGGGGGAGGGGCGGCGACCCCCAGGAGCTTACAATCTGTGGGGGGGAGGGGGGCGGCGACCCCCAGGAGCTTACAATCTGTGGGGGGGAGGGGCGGCGACCCCCAGGAGCTTACAATCTGTGGGGGGGGGGGCGGCGACCCCCAGGAGCTTACAATCTGTGGGGGGAGGGGGCAGTGACCCCAGGAGCTTACAATCTGTAGGGGGGGAGGGGCAGTGACCCCAGGAGCTTACAATCTGTAGGGGGGAAGGGCAGTGACCCCAGGAGCTTACAATCTGTAGGGGGGAGGGGCAGTGACCCCAGGAGCTAACAATCTGTGGGGCGGTATCGGTGGAATACGGATCTGTGTTCTCTGCATTGGATGATAATGGAAGCTCCGCCCCTCTCTTCCAGGCGGAGGTGACGTTTGATGATGTCGCCCTCTATTTCACGGAGGAGGAGTGGCTGAGTCTGCAGGAGGAGCAAAAGAGTCTCTACAAGGAAGTGATGAACGATAATTATCAGATGATCCTCTCACAGAGTGAGTCCCCCCCCCATTTCCATCCCCCCCCCATTCCATCCCCCCCCCCCATTCCATCCATCCCCCCCCCTATTCCATCCCCCCCCCCATTCCATCCCCCCCCCCATTTCCATCCCCCACCCCCCATTCCATCCCCCCCCATTCCATCCCCACCCCCCATTCCATCCCCACCCCCCATTCCATCGCCCATCACCCAGGGCCCATGTCCACCGTTCCATCGCCCATCACCGGGCCCATGTCCACCGTTCCATCGCCCATCACCGGGCCCATGTCCACCGTTCCATCGCCCATCACCGGGCCCATGTCCACCGTTCCATCGCCCATCACCGGGCCCATGTCCACCCGTTCCATCGCCCATCACCGGGCCCATGTCCACCGTTCCATCGCCCATCACCGGGCCCATGTCCCACCGTTCCATCGCCCATCACCGGGCCCCGTCCATGTCCCGGGTCCACCGTTCCATCGCCCATCACCGGGCCCATGTCCACCGTTCCATCGCCCATCACCGGGCCCATGTCCACCGTTCCATCGCCCATCACCGGGCCCATGTCCACCGTTCCATCGCCCATCACCGGGCCCATGTCCACCGTTCCATCGCCCATCACCGGGCCATGTCCACCGTTCCATCGCCCATCACCGGGCCCATGTCCACCGTTCCATCGCCCATCACCGGGCCCATGTCCACCGTTCCATCGCCCATCACCGGGCCCATGTCCACCGTTCCATCGCCCATCACCGGGCCCATGTCCACCGTTCCATCGCCCATCACCGGGCCCATGTCCACCGTTCCATCGCCCATCACCGGGCCCATGTCCACCGTTCCATCGCCCATCACCGGGCCCATGTCCACCGTTCCATCGCCCATCACCGGGCCCATGTCCACCGTTCCATCGCCCCATTCACCCCATCACCGGGCCATGTCCACCGTTCCATCGCCCATCACCGGGTCCCATGTCCACCGTTCCATCGCCCATCACCGGGCCCATGTCCACCGTTCCATCGCCCATCACCGGGCCCATGTCCACCGTTCCATCGCCCATCACCGGGCCCATGTCCACCGTTCCATCGCCCATCACCGGGCCATGTCCACCGTTCCATCGCCCATCACCGGGCCCATGTCCACCGTTCCATCGCCCATCACCGGGCCCATGTCCACCGTTCCATCGCCCATCACCGGGCCCATGTCCACCGTTCCATCGCCCATCACCGGGCCCATGTCCACCGTTCCATCGCCCATCACCGGGCCCATGTCCACCGTTCCATCGCCCATCACCGGGCCCATGTCCACCGTTCCATCGCCCATCACCGGGCCCATGTCCACCGTTCCATCGCCCATCACCGGGCCCATGTCCACCGTTCCATCGCCCATCACCGGGTCCCATGTCCACCGTTCCATCGCCCATCACCGGGCCCATGTCCACCGTTCCATCGCCCATCACCGGGCCCATGTCCACCGTTCCATCGCCCATCACCGGGCCCATGTCCACCGTTCCATCGCCCATCACCGGGCCCATGTCCACCGTTCCATCGCCCATCACCGGGCCCATGTCCACCGTTCCATCGCCCATCACCGGGCCCATGTCCACCGTTCCATCGCCCATCACCGGGCCCATGTCCACCGTTCCATCGCCCATCACCGGGCCCATGTCCACCGTTCCATCGCCCATCACCGGGCCCATGTCCACCGTTCCATCGCCCATCACCGGGCCCATGTCCACCGTTCCATCGCCCATCACCGGGCCCATGTCCACCGTTCCATCGCCCATCACCGGGCCCATGTCCACCGTTCCATCGCCCATCACCGGGCCCATGTCCACCGTTCCATCGCCCATCACCGGGCCCATGTCCACCGTTCCATCGCCCATCACCGGGCCCATGTCCACCGTTCCATCGCCCATCACCGGGCCCATGTCCACCGTTCCATCGCCCATCACCGGGCCCATGTCCACCGTTCCATCGCCCATCACCGGGCCCATGTCCACCGTTCCATCGCCCATCACCGGGCCCATGTCCACCGTTCCATCGCCCATCACCGGGCCCATGTCCACCGTTCCATCGCCGTTCATCATCCCCGGGCCCATGTCCACCGTTCCATCGCCCATCACCCGGGCCCATGTCCACCGTTCCATCGCCCATCACCGGGCCCATGTCCACCGTTCCATCCATCGCCCCATCACCGGGCCCATCCCCGGATCCCATGTCCACCGTTCCATCGCCCATCCCCGGGCCCATGTCCACCGTTCCATCGCCCATCCCCGGGTCCATGTCCACCGTTCCATCGCCCATCCCCGGGTCCATGTCCACCGTTCCATCGCCCATCCCCGGGTCCATGTCCACCGTTCCATCCCCCATCCCCGGATCCATCCCCATCATCCCTCTATCCCAGCATGCGGTCTGTGTGGGGATATTCTGGTTGGGGGAGGGGTTTGTATGATTGATGATTCTCAGTACATGGTGTGTCACCTCGCTGATCTCTTTATTCCTTCCCTCTACAGCTCGCCCAGATATTATAACCAACATCGAGTTGGGGTGTGAGCCGTACATCACCACAGCCAAGGCCAGCACCATCAGAGGTGAGATACTTCATTGTCGTTATTGGCATGTAATGACTTCCCATAGGTCATGGGGCCCCACAGGGTCTGATATCTGGTATGGAGGTGCACTGCTCCCTACTTGGTCTGTCATCTGTGGTCTAACTGCACCGTTCCCTACAGGATCAAATCATTTTGTATGTAGGAGCTTCGTGTCCCTCAAGATCCAGTATCTTGTATGTAGGCGCTTCGTGTCCCTCGGGATCCAGAATCTTGTATGTAGGAGTTTCGTGTCCCTCGGGATCCAGTATCTTGTATGTAGAAGCTTCGTGTCCCTCAGGATCCAGTATCTTGTATGTAGGAGCTTCGTGTCCCTCAGGATCCAGTATCTTGTATGTAGGAGCTTCGTGTCCCTCTGGATCCAGGATCTTGTATGTAGGAGCTTCGTGTCCCTCAGGATCCAGTATCTTGTATGTAGGTGCTTCGTGCCCCTCAGGATCCAGAATCTTGTATGTAGGAGTTTCGTGTCCCTCGGGATCCAGTATATCTTGTATGTAGGAGCTTCGTGTCCCTCAGGATCCAGTATCTTGTATGTAGGTGCTTCGTGTCCCTCAGGATCCAGTATCTTGTATGTAGGAGCTTCGTGTCCCTCTGGATCCAGGATCTTGTATGTAGGAGCTTCGTGTCCCTCTGGATCCAGGATCTTGTATGTAGGAGCTTCGTGTCCCTCAGGATCCAGTATCTTGTATGTAGGTGCTTCGTGTCCCTCAGGATCCAGTATCTTGTATGTAGGAGCTTCGTGTCCCTCTGGATCCAGTATCTTGTATCTTGTATGTAGGAGCTTCGTGTCCCTCTGGATCCAGGATCTTGTATGTAGGAGCTTTGTGTCCCTCTGGATCCAGGATCTTGTATGTAGGAGCTACGTGTCCCTCAGGATCCAGTATCTTGTATGTAGGAGCTTCGTGTCCCTCAGGATCCAGGATCTTGTATGTAGGAGCTTTGGGTCCCTCAGTATCTAGTATCTTGTATGTAGGAGCTTTGGGTCCCTCAGTATCTAGTATCTTGTATGTAGGAGCTTCGTGTCCCTCAGGATCCAGTATCTTGTATGTAGGAGCTTTGTGTCCCTCAGTATCTAGTAGCTTGTATGTAGGAGCTACGTGTCCCTCAGGATCCAGTATCTTGTATGTAGGTGCTTCGTGTCCCTATGGATCCAGGATCTTGTATGTAGGAGCTTTGGGTCCCTCAGTATCTAGTATCTTGTATGTAGGTGTCCCTCAGCTACGTGTCTTCGTGTCCTCAGGATCTTGTATCCCCTCAGTATGATCTTGTATGTAGGAGCTACGTGTCCCTCAGGATCCATGATCTTGTATCTTGAAAAAGACGATACATTGAAAGACACAGCAAGTCTTAACCTGTCAGTTATACTGCCTCCTACAGGAGGATTGGCAAAAAGATAGGCCACCTCGTGCTATCCCCTCCCCCCTTCTCCCAGCATGTTCTATCCTTTGCCAGTGTCCTAGGAGGATGGATGTCTGGTCCCTATGTGGCAACTCTCCTTAGCCTGGCCTTTTGAGTGCCGCCTCCAGAACCTGCTGGACCGGACTTTACGGAGGAAGCCTGGAAGTGACCTCCAGGCGCTGGGTTCCATGTTGGTCTTTCCTGGTCCAAAGCTGCTGGTATTTCCTCAGCACCTCCTCTGTGAACACTCAATCTGTATATAGGCTGCTCGGGTTGAGCACGGGAGTTCCCGCATTTGGGCGCCATTATGTCCTCTTACATGCCGGTTTATGCCGTGGAAGGGGTCAACAATGCTGGACTGACTGCTGACATAATGCAGTGGGTGGAGCTAGCCAGGCTTCGGATTACAGTCACGCAAACCTTTGTGACCCAGTTTTCCCACCACATGGCTGCCTCAGCACTCCCACGCCTTTCTCCATAAATGCGATGGCAGGGACTGTTTCTGATTCTGAGTCGCTCCGGCCTCCACCCAATCAGATCATCCTCCAGGAGTCTGTGCCTATTTCAGGTCTTGATGTGGTGCACAGCACTCCTTAGGATCAGCGTGATGCCTTCAGTCCTGGGTCTTCTAGAACCCCTACACTTATGAAGACCTTCCCACTGCACCTACACCCCTCCAGTGCTTACCAGATTTTTTCCCATATGGAAAGGATGTCCCCAAAAAGTGCTGTACCTCCATCATGGATCTATCAGGGGCCCACTAGAACAGGGTAATGGAGGGCTTTCTGTATCCGAGGATCCTACCACCCACCAGCTGGAAACCCTCTTTCACCATTTGTCTACCAAGCTATGACTATAAAAGGTAGACAAGTGGTTATATCAAGTTCTTGGCTGTTGTGGCAGTTGTGAGCTGGGTACCAGCTGATCCAGTGGCTTTAGAGCCCTCAGGATCCAGTATCTTGTATGTAGGAGCTTCGTGTCCCTCAGGATCCAGTATCTTGTATGTAGGAGCTTCGTGTCCCTCAGGATCCAGTATCTTGTATGTAGAAGCTTCGTGTCCCTCAGGATCCAGTATCTTGTATGTAGGAGTATTTCGTGTCCCTCGGGATCCAGTATCTTGTATGTAGGTGCTTCGTGTCCCTCAGGATCCAGTATCTTGTATGTAGAAGCTTCGTGTCCCTCAGGATCCAGTATCTTGTATGTAGGAGCTACGTGTCCCTCAGGATCCAGTATCTTGTATGTAGGAGCTACGTGTCCCTCAGGATCCAGTATCTTGTATGTAGGAGCTACGTGTCCCTCAGGATCCAGTATCTTGTATGTAGGAGCTACGTGTCCCTCAGGATCCAGTATCTTGTATGTAGATGCTTCGTGTCCCTCAGGATCCAGTATCTTGTATGTAGGAGCTTCGTGTCCCTCAGGATGTGGTGGTCTTGATGTGGTGCACAGCACTCCTTAGGATCAGCGTGATGCCTTCAGTCCTGGGTCTTCTAGAACCCCTACACTTATGAAGACCTTCCCACTGCACCTACACCCCTCCAGTGCTTACCAGATTTTTTCCCATATGGAAAGGATGTCCCCAAAAAGTGCTGTACCTCCATCATGGATCTATCAGGGGCCCACTAGAACAGGGTAATGGAGGGCTTTCTGTATCCGAGGATCCTACCACCCACCAGCTGGAAACCCTCTTTCACCATTTGTCTACCAAGCTATGACTATAAAAGGTAGACAAGTGGTTATATCAAGTTCTTGGCTGTTGTGGCAGCTGTGAGCTGGGTACCAGCTGATCCAGTGGCTTTAGAGCCACCCAATCGTTTTCTCAAAGTGGTCCTCCCCCCTCGCATCTCCACCGGTGACATCTGCGGTGGTTCCCAGGCTCTCCCGTTCCGCTGGGGAGCCCAGGACTGCTGGTACAGTGAGAGCAGGAGGAACTTCGGAAACTTCCGATCTCTCCTGCGACTAATTTCCCCAGGAAGTGACGTGTATTACATCACTTCTGGGGTCAAAGCTGTCATTCCTGGGCTGGTGTAGCTGAGGGTGCGGCTATTCAAGTACGTTCTGTGCTTGAAAAGCTGCATTTGAGGGCAGTGGAGACATTTGCCATCTAATAGACCCCCCTCAGTGTCTCTATAAAGAGAACCTGTCACCTGCCCATGCTATCACATAGGGGGCTTGTTGGCTCTCTTGTGTTAGCAATTAATGAAAAAAATTAATTTAAAAAAAAAAAAAAACAGCTCCGGTAGGTAAGTGGTTAAAACTCAATTCTCGCTGATGGGCCCTTCACCCAGTTCTGGGTGGGACTTTGCCAAACCAAGGCAGAGTGGACAGAATCCCGTACAAGTGGTTTCTGCTGCAGCATTGAGTCCTTCACTGAGGAGAGCGGATGGTTGGAGCTTCTGCAGTGATGGCCGCTGGAAGTAGCTGGGCTTGTCTCCTGCTGTGGTCCTTTTGTCGATTACAACCGTGCACAGTACTCTGGTTCAAGTGCTGGTCTGAAGACCCTCAATCCAAGGAGCACCTGACCTGCATGGTCTTCGGGGGATATATCTTTAGTTCGGCCCTAATATTAGGGATGTCATTGGGAGCAAGAGCATCCACCTTCCTGCCTCAGCTGAAGTCTACTGAAAGGTCTATATAGTCTCCTTCCAATCATTTCTTTACTTTTGGAGTATGAACTTCTAGGACTCTCAGGTCTCCAGCCACTCAAAGTCTGGAGTAAAAAGCCGCTAAACCCTCACCACCATGAAGCTCCTCCCTGACTTTTCATAGTGGGTGGATGCTTGGTAATGTTTGGGGACTCCTGGATAGTTTGCCTTCAGGTGCAGAAAGGGATATTCCAGGGATATCAAATGAACCTTTTGTATTCCACTCCTTCAGCTCCTCGCCTTCCTTTGTCACTACACAAATTAGCAGACCATCCTCTGCCCCTCTAGGGTCTTCCAGACCATCCTCTGCCCCTCTAGGGTCTTCCAGACCATCCTCTGCCCCTCTAGGGTCTTCCAGACCATCCTCTGCCCCTCTAGGGTCTTCCAGACCATGGTGTCATTGCAAAACCATGGGGGTCATGATTACCGGACCATGGGGTCGTGATTACCGGACCATGGGCGTCGTGATTACCGGACCATGGGGGTCGTGATTACCGGACCATGGGGGTCGTGATTACCGGACCATGGGGGTCGTGATTACCGGACCATGGGGGTCGTGATTACCGGGCCATGGGCGTCGTGATTACCGGGCCATGGGCGTCGTGATTACCGGGCCATGGGCGTCGTGATTACCGGGCCATGGGCGTCGTGATTACCGGGCCATGGGCGTCGTGATTACCGGGCCATGGGCGTCGTGATTACCGGGCCATGGGCGTCGTGATTACCGGGCCATGGGCGTCGTGATTACCGGGCCGGGCCATGGGGTCATGGGCGTCGTGATTACCGGGCCATGGGCGTCGTGATTACCGGGCCATGGGCGTCGTGATTACCGGGCCATGGGCGTCGTGATTACCGGGCCATGGGCGTGGATTACCAAGGGCCATGGGGTGGACATTGCAAGGCCATGGGGTGGACATTGCAAGGCCATGGGGTGGACATTGC